CGGGCAGGACCCGGTGCCGGGAGCAGCCCCGCTTCGCTCCGGGGGAGCGGGGCCGGGCCGCGAGCGATGGTCCCGGCCCAGCCCGGGCAGGGCGGGGCCCCGGGGCGGGCTCGGGGCTCGGTGAGACGGGGCCCGGAGGGAGCCGGGCCGCTGGTTCAGGGGGGCCCGGGCTCTACGGGATGCGGGGCTCCGGGAGAGCCCTGCTCGGGCCCCGGGGGGCTCATTGCCCTCCCCACCTTTCTGTCCTTTTCCTTTCTTTTCTGATCTTTCCGCCCTTCTTCAGCACCTGGGCACGCAGCCCAGCCCCAGAGTCACCCCATGCTCTGACTCAAAGCCCTGATGCTCATAATGCCTGTCCCTGTCCCTGTCCCTGGTTCCGCTCCCCAATCCCGGTCCCGGTCCCAGTCCCTGGTCCCGATCTCCGATCCCGGTCCCTGTCCCTGTTCCCGGTCCCCGATCCCGGTCCCGATCCCAGTCCACGGTCCCGGTCCCCGATCCCGGTTCCCGATCCCGGTCCCGGTCCCTGTCCCCGATCCCGGTTCCCGATCCTGGTCCCGGTCCCTGTCCCCGATCCCGGTTCCCGATCCTTTCCCCGATCCCGGTCCCCGATCCTGGTCCCGGTCCCTGTCCCCGATCCCGGTTCCCGGTCCCTGTCCCCGATCCCGGTTCCGGTCCCGGTCCCCGTCCCCGATCCCTGATCCCTGATCCCGATCCCGGTCCCCGATCCCGGTTCCCGATCCCGGTCCCTGTCCATGGTCCTCGTCCCTCCGCGTGCGCTCAGCCCCTGGGTCCTCCGAGCCGCCAGGCGGCGCCTGCCGCACTCCCGCCATGCACCGCGCGCGCGGCCTGTGGCGGGCGAGGGTCGCCGCGACCCTCGGGGGGTCCCGGGCGCTCTCCGGGATTCCCGGGGCCTCTCCGGGGACTCCCGGTGCCGGGTTGGGCCCCGAGGCCGAAGCGGACCCGGAGCTGCTCCGCGCCAGCAGCCCCGAGCTTGCCCGGCGGCTCCGCGGACTCGCGCTGGTCCGGGGCGGCTTCGTGAGCGACGGGGAGGCGGCGGAGCTGCTGCGGGAGGTGGAGCCGGGGCTGCGCCGGGGGCGGTACCAGAACGACCACTGGGACCGGGTGAGGGGGGGTCCGGGGAGGGCCACGGGGGTCAGGGGGTCACAGGAGGTCGGAGTTAACCCCCCCTCCCGTTTATCCCGCCAGGCCATCACCGGCTACCGAGAGACGGAGCGGGGCCTGCGGGGGGGCGCGGGGCGGGCGCTGCTGCTCCGGGTGACCCCCGCGTTCCCCCCGAGCCGCCCCCCCCGGCCCAGCGCCCACGTCCTCGACCTCCTGCCGGGGGGACGCGTGGGGCCGCACGTGGACAGCGTTAAGGTGGGGGGGCCCTGGGGGGGGGTCCCTGGGGGAATTTGGGCGATGCCCGGGTAGGGTGCGAGGCGAGGAGGGGTTGGGGGCGGTGGGTTTTGGGGGGGAAGCCCAAGGGGATTTTGGGTGGCGAAGTTTTTTGGGTGGTTTTGATGGGTCTCAGGTGCTTTCGCCCCCCCCCCCCGCAGTTCTGTGGCTGCACCATCGCGGGGGTGTCACTGCTGTCCCCCAGTGTCCTGCGGCTCCAGAGCCTCCGGGACCCCGAGGACTGGCTGGAGCTGCTGCTGGAGCCAGGGTCCCTCTACGTCCTCCGGTGGGTTTGGGGGACCCCTTGGGAACTCCCCGTGGGGGTTTTGGGGACCCCTGTGGGGGAGTTGAAGACCCCCCTGACCCTCGTTCCCTCCCACAGGGGTGCTGCCAGGTACGACTTCACCCATGAGATCCTCCCGGACGAGCAATCATTTTTTGGGGGGCTTCGGGTGCCGCGGGGGCGCCGGGTGGCCTTGATCTTCCGCAATGACCCCCCAGGTGAGAACCCTCCAAAACCCGCCCTGGGACCCCCCAAAGCGCTCCGGGACCCCTCTGGGGAGAGCATGGTACTGTAAGAGCCCCCCACCCCAGCAGGTCCTGAGCCCCTCAAATTTCCTTTAAGACCCCAAAACCCCCGGGGACCACCCAAGCCCTGTCTGGCATGCCCAAAACCCATCTGGGACTCCCTTAAACCCCCTCCCCATACCCCCTAAACATCCCCAAACCTCCCACCTGAGAGCCCTGAAATATTCTCCCGACTGTCACTCTTTCCCCTTCACCCCAGAGACACCTCCGGACCCTCTCAGCGACCTCCCGGCGTTTATTGAGGACCCCCACGACCCTCCAGCCCCGAAATGAGCTCCCCCAATAAACAGCGATTCCCCCTGCACTTGGCTCTTGGGGGGGGGCTGTTTTGGGGGGAAGTTGGAGGAGGGAACTCCCAAACCCCCCCGGGCTGACAGCCAGGGGGTGCTTTTGGGGGTGCTCGGAGGGACCCTCAAACCACCCCCCCGACAGATGGGGAGGAGTTTTGAGGGGAGGGGGTTCAGGGAGGGGTAGTTTCTGACTGGTAAAGGCGGGGGGGNGGGGGTTCAGGGAGGGGTAGTTTCTGACTGGTAAAGGGGGGGGGGAGGGGGGATCAGGAGGTTTTTTTGAGGGTGGGGGTCTCACCCCAGGCACGCGCAGGCCCCCGCCGAGAGCTGCGGCAGCCGCTGCCAGCGCAGCCCCGAGTCCAGGAACGCCACATCCTCGTAGCGGGTGGGGCGGCAGCAGGGACCCCCCTCGGGACCCCCCGGACCCAGCACGGCCCCCAGAGCCAGCCTGTGCAGGGTGGGGGGCGCGGGGCAGCCCCCACCGCAGTAACGGAACACGACGGTCTCGGGGGAGGGGTACCCCAGCCCCAGCGCCCCCACGCCCACCGAGATGCTGCGGAGCCCGCAGGGGGGAGCGGCGGGGGGCGCGGCAGGGGGGGCGCGGCAGGGCCCGAGCAGCAGCAGCAGCAGGAGGAGGAAGAGGAGGAGGAGGAAGCACCGAGAGAGTCCTGGCCTCGCCGCCATCCTGAGCCCCCCCCCTCCAAAAGAACGCGGCCCAAGGGGATTTATGGGGTGAGGAGAGGGAGGGGCTTGGGGGAGGTGGAAGGAGGAGGGGGTTAACCCTGACCTCCCCGAGGGGGGCTCTGACTCCCCCTTGCCAGGGGAAATTTTGGGGGAGGGAATCTTGAATTGGGGAGGGGGAAGTCAGCGGGGACCCCGTCACCCCAAAAAATATCGGGATGTGAGACCCCCCCCCCCCCAGTATCCCCACTCAGGAATTTGGGGAAGGCTTTTGGAAAATGGAGACCCTCCCATACCAACAAGGGGAGAGACCTCGGGGACCCCCCCAAACTGCGGGGGTCTGATGGAGACCCTCACCAGAAAAATGGGGGGGGGGGTTTAGAGTCTCAATCTACTCCCCCAGGAGCCCCTCGCCCCCTCCCCAAATAACTGACCCCCCCCGCAAACCCCCTGGGAGAGGGAGGGAATTTTCCCCTACCCGCAAAGGAAGGAGGGTCATGGGGGGGATTAATTTTGGGGAGGGGGGGGGCTCAAAGCCCCTATGGAGGGTGGAACATTCCAGCGCTGTGGGGGGGGGTGTGGGGTGTGGGCCTGGCACAAAGTAGAGGAAAAAAAGGCTAAAAATAGCAAAACATCCCAATTCTGACCCAAAAAAAAAAAAAAAAAAAAAAAA